GCCGTGGGCGCTCCGCTTCCCTGAGCTGCGCGCCGCGATCGACGCCGCGATCGCCCGCCTCGGCGGCGCCGTCGCGCCGAAGCTCAACTGGAGCTCCCCTACCGACGCCGTGTGGGTGTCCCCCTCGTCCTCCCTCCGCTGCCGCAGCGCGGAGCAGGTCGTGCTGCTGCTCAAGTCCTCCCCCCGCGCCGCGTTCGACCTCGAACTCTGCGACCGCCTCCGCGCCGGCGCCGGCTGCGCCGACGCGGCGCCCGCGCTCGCGCTGCGCGCGTGGCGCGACGTGCCGCCGGAGCGGGAGCTGCGGTGCTTTGTGCACGGGCACCGGCCGGTGGGCATCTGCCAGCGCGACCTGGGGCAGGCGTTCCCGCAGGCGCCGGGCGCGGGCAGCGGCGAGCGGGCGCGGCTGCGGGACGCGGTCTGTGAGTTCCAAGCGCGGCACTTTGGGAGCGGCTTCGCACGGGAATCATGTGAGTGGTGCTGTAGTGCGCGCGCGCGCGCTCGCACGCATGAGCCTGCACGTTGCGTTGCGCACGTGTGCGCCCACAGTCGCTTGCTTGCTTGGTCTGTTGGGTTGGGTTGAAACGAGGCTGCAGGGCAGCCCTGCACTGCGCGCTCCCGTCTGGCGGCTTGCCCTCTTTTCGACCTAATACGTCTGCGCCAGCTTGCCGACGGCCGCGGACCCTCTTCCCGACATAAAGCAGTACACGCCAAACACCCATTGACTGAAGTGCATTTCCATGCACGAACCCTGTCTCGCTCGCACATATTCCGCTGCTCCAGACGCCCTCGACGTCGTCGTGTCCCCGAGCTATGACGTCACATTAGTCGACGTCAACCCCATCGCCGACACGACGCAGCCGCTGCTGTTCGACTGGCAGCAGCTGCCGTACGGCCCACGCCCCGGGGGCGGCCCTGACAGCGGCGGCGGCGGCGGCGGCGGTGGCGGCGGTGGCGGCAGCGGCAGCGATGGTGAGCCAAGCGGCGGCGAGCCCGGCGGCAGCGGCGGCGGCGAGGACGCCGCGGGGCCGTCGGCCGCGGCGCCGTTGGGCGCGGCAGCAGCGGGGGCGGGGCCACCGGCCGGCGCGGAGGGCGGCTGGGAGCGCGTGCCGCTGCTGCTGGTGGAAGGTGAGCCCGTCGTGCGGCCGGGCATGCGGGCGGCGTGCGGCGTGCCTTGCGATCTGGTAGAGGGCGCGGAGGGGATGGAGGAGGTGATACGGATGATGCAGCGGCAGCAGCGGCCTGGCGATGAGGGCGACGAGTGAGCAGTGCGCAGACAAGGGCAGCAGCAACAAGGCCCCAGACGGCGCCCGCCCCGAGCCGCACCAAGCTGCGCTGCGCCTGGCGGCGGCGGCATGCACAGGCAGGGTCTGGGGCGCGGCTGCGGCTGATAGTGTGGGCTGTGTGAAGGGACTGGCTCATGGCGCTCGATACTGTTGCACTGGCGTTGAGCTTGAGTGGTTTGTTAATTATCTGGCATGCTTTGTGTCAGCAGAGCAGGCGCGCGGGGCGGCGGCCCGCGGCCGCGCGGGGCCGGCGGGCGCCACGCGCTGAGGG